ACACATTAATCATGAGAATTTACAAAGGTAATGAGCTCCAGGTAGAGCTGGTCAAGATCATGACAAGTTTCAAAGGTAATGAATGATAAACACGTTATCACATGATTACAATCATAGACAAATTACAGAGTAATGAGCAGTTAACAAACATAGCAGGGAATTCATCCATTGCCCCAACAACAGATGTTGCTAGGTGCCTGTCTCTCCTCGGCAGACAGCCATTGCAAACAGCAGCAAGTTGCCCCGGGATCTGCTGCTTGCACGAGCACCATCGACCCTCCCCAAGAGGTCCAAGAAGCCAGTGGCTCCGTTAGCAGCCCGATGGAGAGCTGTCCAAGGGACATGGCAACGTCCTGCTGGACGCCAAGTTGACTGAAGATCCCAGGCCCTCGTGTGCACGGATGTTGAAGCTTGAGGAACTGAGTACACACTGCCTGTGGCACACCTGACAGCTGCCTCGCGGTCGAACTCCACGATGCTGTCCCTGTAGTGGAAGTTCCTGTGAGCCCGGCACTCCCTGCAGTGCCATCGCTGACATCGTGGGTTAGGGGAGAAGTACCCTCTATAGATGGGGTGGCGCTGGGAGTTGGGTGGGTGAGGCGGGGGAGACGGGCAGGGGCGAGGCGTTATGAGAGGGTCACTGTTTACTACACACGCCCTTCCCCTCCCCCCCAGCGGAGAGGGGGGGAGGCGCTGACTGGTCCTGACTCAACAACACCAAACCTTCTGCACAACACTTCAACTATTTACGCTGAAACGATGCACTGGGAAGTCAAGCGACCCCTTCCAGCTTGGGGCGGGGGGGGGGGGTCGGTGTTGTGAACCTGTTTAAGGTCTAATTAAATACATTCTGGCTATTTAGATTAAATTTAATAGGGAAAGTACATCAAGACAACCAAAACCATTTACCAACAGCCATTATAACTATCTTGTTAAATCATGCATTTTAAAGAGAATAAACTCAAGACAGCATAGTATTACTAGATTAGGCTATTAAAGTAGTGACATCATGTACCTATTATATTCAGCATAACCACTACAGCACTATTATTCCCTTTATAAATCACTGACCATTATTGTTATCATTGCATCATGCATAAGACTATCAAATCATATAAACTACAGAAAATTGGAGAGGAATCTCCCATACTCACCCATTAGCGGGAAAACACAGCTGTTCTGATGTAAACAAAGGCGTGTTGAGTGTTGCCATCTATGGTTAGGTTTATTTATTTTTATTTTATTTTATTTCATTATTTATTTTTGTTTTGATTAATTTTTAAAAATCAATTTTACTCTCCAAACACTTGAACTTTTTAGGTAGGGACCCCTTTGCACTTGCATCATGTGAGCAGTCTTGGATGAGCCCCTGAACCCCTTGGACCGCGGGGCCCCCAAATGCGCGGGGCCCTAGGCAAATGCCTAGTTTGCCTATTTGGTAATCCGGCCCTGCTTGTCCCGTCCCTGTCTGCTGGCCTATATGTACTCCCTCCTTCTCTCCTTTTTGTTAGTATGACTTTGTAAATGGTCCAGGTCGGACCGAAACGTCGTAGTAAGTTTCTCTCTTCTATGTGCCGGTTATTTGTGTACTGAGTTACGATTTTCTGACTTTGCTAAGAGTTTGAAGCAAAGTACTCATTGCATATTGACTGTATTCAAAAGAGGCTGCAGGATACTACCATGAACTTCTACGATGGTGTCCTGGATTTGAAAGCTCTCCCCAAGATCATTTTGATGGTGAAAGAAGTGATAGTGAGTCAATTGAAGAAGAACTCGGACTCTGACAAGAATGAAATACTGAAGCTAAAAGACGTCAGAAACGAATGACTGATGAGAAATCGAGAGATGCTGAGTTAACAACCAAGGAAGAAATGGAAAGAGTCGTGAGGGAAACACGTGATCGTCGTCACAGAGAAACGGATGAAAGGTTCGCTCGTTTGCACGACACGAGCCTGGTTGATCAGGGTCTGAACAGCCTGGTTGATCAGGCTCTGATCCACCAGGAGGCCTGGTCACAGACCGGGCCGCGGGGGCGTTGACCCCCGGAACTCTCTCCAGGTAAACTCCAGGTAAACACTAACGCCAAGTTTGGGTTCCTTCTCAATGCCGAGGGGGAGTGTGTTACGGTGCTGACAGAAGCGATCTAAAGAAGTGCAAAAATCTGGCCGAATTGTACAGCTCTGATGCTGATGGACAACAACTACATGAAGGAATTTTGAATTGTAGAATGTTGCTATCAAGCCGGGCCAACAAGAACACAAGACCTGAAGAGTTTGTCGAATATATTGTTCAGTATGGAGATGACAGCATCTTCCCCAATCTTCGTATTACTGTTCAGATAATGCTAACCTTCGCAGTTTCCATCGCCAGCTGTGAGAGATCTTTCATCAAGTAAAAAAAAAAAAATAATACTTTCGTTTTTGAGATCCTCCATGGGCCAAGGCAGTCACTGTGATCTTGTTCTGCTGAATGTAGAAAGAGAAGAAACTGACAAAAAAAAAAAAAGAGTACATCGTAAACCAGTTTACATCAGTGAAAGCAAGGAAGGTGCAATTGTAATTGTCATGTAATACCATAATTTGTTACTTAAAAAATTAACAAGCTTGACTTGTATTTTTGAGTTCATTTTATGGTAAAGTTAACTGAAAGATAGGTAGGTGTCAGATGTTTGGATAGGAACGTAATTTCAGTGCTTGCCATACCTGGAGAGGGTTTCGGGGGTCAACGCCCCCGCGGCCCGGTCTGTGACCAGGCCTCATGGTGGATCAAGGCCTGATCAACCAGGCTGTTACTGTTGGCCGCACGCAAACCGACCTACGAACCACAGCCCGGCTGGTCAGGTACTAACTTCAGGTGCCTGTCCAGCGCTCTTCTTGAAGACAGCCAGCCAGGGGTCTATTAGTAATCCCCCTTATGAATGCTGGGAGGCAGTTGAAAAGTCTTGGGCCCCTGACAGTTATTGTGTTGTCTCTTATCGTGCTAGTGACACATTGGGGGGATGTTGCATCTCCTGCCGAGTGTTTTGCTTTCATAAGAACATATTATTATTATTATAATCAAAAAGAAGCGCTAAGCCACAAGGACTATACAGCCCATAAGAACATAACATAAGAAGGAACACTGCAGCAGGGAGTGATTTCCGTATCCTAGTTTGGTATCAATCCCTCCTGGATTTTCCAAGTGTATATAATTATGTATCTCTCCCTCCCTCCTGCGTTCTAGGGAGAACAGGTTGAGGAACTTCAAGCGTTCCCAGCAACTGAGGTGTTTTATCGCAGTTGTGTGTGCCGTGCCACAGGCGCTATTTTCCGTAGATACGCCCTTGGAAGAGAGTGAGGTGAGTACAGTGTGAGGTGAGTGAGGTTGCAGCGTCGAGAGTGAAGTGAGTTAGCAGTGGTGGGAGAGTGAGGTGATCGTGTACGTGGTGGAGAGAGTGAAGTGAGGTAGCAGTGGTGGAGAGTGAAGTGAGGTAGCAGTGGTGGAGAGTGAGGTGAGGTAGCAGTGGTGGAGAGTGAAGTGAGGTAGCAGTGGTGGAGAGTGAGGTGAGGTAGCAGTGGTGGAGAGTGAGGTGAGGTAGCAGTGGTGGTGGTGAGAGTGAGGCAGCAGTGGTGGTGGGAGGTGAGGTAGCATGGGGTGATGGAGAGTAAGGCAGCAGTGGTGGAGTGAGGTGATAGCAGGTAGTGGTGGAGTGAGGTGAGGCAGCAGTGGTGTGGAGAGAGTGCAGGTTAGGCGGCCAGTGGTGGTGTGGTGGAGAGTGAGGTGAGGCAGCAGTGGTGGTGGTGGTGGAGAGAGTGAGGCAGCAGCAGTGATGGTGGTGGTGGAGAGAGTGAGGCAGCAGCAGTGATGGTGGTGATGGAGAGAGTGAGGCAGCAGCAATGATGGTGGTGGTGGTGGAGAGAGTGAGGCAGCAGCAGTGATGGTGTGGTGAGAGAGTGAGGCAGCAGCAGTGATGGTGGTGGTGTGGAGAGAGTGAGGCAGCAGTGGTGGTGGAGAGAGTGAGGCAGCAGTGGTGGTGGAGAGAGTGAGGCAGCAGTGGTGGTGGAGAGAGTGAGGCAGCAGCATGATGGTGTGATGGAGAGAGTGAGGCAGCAGCAGTGATGGTGTGTGGGAGAGAGTGCAGCAGCAGTGATGGTGGTGGTGGAGAGAGTGAGGCAGCAGTGGTGGTGGAGAGAGTGAGGCAGCAGTGGTGGTGGAGAGAGTGAGGCAGCAGTGGTGGTGGAGAGAGTGAGGCAGCAGCAGTGATGGTGGTGATGGAGAGAGTGAGGCAGCAGCAGTGATGGTGGTGGTGGTGGAGAGAGTGAGGCAGCAGCAGTGATGGTGGTGGTGGAGAAGTGAGGCAGCAGTGGTGGTGGAGAGAGTGAGGCAGCAGTGGTGGTGGAGAGAGTGAGGCAGCAGTGGTGGTGGAGAGAGTGAGGCAGCAGTGGTGGTGGAGAGAGTCATGCAGCAGCAGTGGTGGAGAGAGTGATGCAGCAGTGGTGGTGGTGGTGGTGGTGGAGAGAGTGAGGCAGCAGCAGTGATGGTGGTGGTGGAGAGAGTGAGGCAGCAGTGGTGGTGGTGGTGGAGAGAGTGAGGCAGCAGCAGTGATGGTGGAGAGAGTGAGGCAGCAGTGGTGGTGGAGAGTGAGGCAGCAGCAGTGGTGGTGGTGGAGAGAGTGAGGCAACAGCAGTGGTGGTGGTGGAGAGAGTGAGGCAGCAGTGGTGGTGGTGGTGGAGAGAGTGAGGCAGCAGCAGTGGTGGTGGTGGAGAGAGTGAGGCAGCAGTGGTGGTGGTGGAGAGAGTGAGGCAGCAGCAGTGGTGGAGAGAGTGAGGCAGTAGCAGTGGTGGAGAGAGTGAGGCAGCAGCAGTGATGGTGGTGGGGAGAGAGTGAGGCAGCAGTGGTGGTGGTGGTGGAGAGAGTGAGGCAGCAGTGGTGGTGGTGGAGAGAGTGAGGCAGCAGCAGTGGTGGAGAGAGTGAGGCAGCAGCAGTGGTGGAGAGAGTGATGCAGCAGCAGTGGTGGAGATGCATCACTGTACACGGCGCTACATGATTGGTCCCAGTATATCATAGATGAAACAAAGTTCAACAATACGTGTAAACATTTAGAAAAAAGAGCATCGTTATTCACCCGCTTATTAATTTACAATGATATTCGGAAGGCGTTAAAATGACCTTTAATAACTTCAACAAATATTGCCTTGCTTCTATAAACATGTGTTGTTGCCGAAATGTTTACGAACTGACAGTAAGAAGATGAATTTACCGCTTTCAGTTTCTTAAAGCTTTTAAACAGTAAGTATTTGCTAGATGTCTTATTCTCAGTCTCTGAGTTAAGTAGCTTCTCGTGTGGGGTTTATCTATGGTATAAATATACGTTAAGTTTATTTCTTATAGCTGCAATATATCTTGTCCACCTGGAGATGATTTTTGTTTATTAATTAATGTAGCATCAAGAACCAGTGATAATAATGAATTATGTCTGTATTTTTGTATCTTAAATTAGAATTGTGGCAGATGAACTGCTTAGTAAATCCAGTATAGTTACGTAGTGTGACAGCAGCTGTTGTAGTTTAAGAGATAATGTCACTATATAACCTTGATGCAGATGAAGGACTCTTGATCCAGGGAATTAGAGCTACCCTCTATTGGACCAAATAATAATGATGATAATAAGGTCAATATTGACATTCCAGGACACAACTTTCATAATATTGTTCACTTAATATAACAAATCTATGGAAATAAGTCACTCAGACCTTTTTTTGGGCTATTCCAGGTAATTTTCACATATGTTAGTATATTCATGTTCAGGTATACATTACTAAATACATAAATTATCATATATAGCAACGTATGTGTAAATTACCCAGAATAACACAAGAAAGTTAGAAAAAGTGACTTATTTCCATTGTGGTCCTTGTGATACTTTATTATTTAAACCTTAAAAGTTAAAACAGCTGAGTAACTCAACATATAGTAAAATGAGATATAACTGTTATGTATGATAATTGTTCTTATGTGTTCTTGCACCTAAATAAACTTAATTACTTATTTACATAAGATATGAAACACATCTGTCGCGAAAAATATTTATTGACATCTCAGCCACAATAATAATATAATAATAATAATAATGATAAATTATATTATTATTTATAATTGTCATTATTATATTATTATAGCTGATATATCGTTATACAACAGTGTCCCGTACCTCGATTGGTAGCGCACTCAGCTCACACACTGAGGTCCGGAGATCGAATCCCCGGTACGGCTGGAAAACATTAGGACTTGTTTCCTTAAGACACTTGTTGTCCCTGTTCACCCATCAGTTTCAAATGGGTACCTGGGTGTTAGTCGACTGATGTGGGTCGCATCCTGGGACAAAACTGACCTAATTTGCCTGAAATGCTCAGCATAACAAACGACTTTCTATATAATAGTATGTCATTGATGTCAGCTATGGTCTGTATACCTTGTACATGTACTGGTATATATACAGTTATTATTATTATTACATGTGTTTCCTGTATAATAGATATGGACATGTTGTGGTAAGTGTATAATGTTGACAGAGTTCTGTCTTAGGAATGTTGTCATTATTGACCTGTAACAATAACAAATATATATAATAATAATAATAATAATAATAATAATAATAATAATAATAAATAAGAGACTATAATCCTTTGCCAACAAAATATAATCCCAGCAATTTTTCACATACATATAGTACTGAGATCAGGTCGTTGTCTTGTGTTAAGGGAGAATTTGTTTTATAATATGTTCAGTGTTAAGTTCATCTTACCTCAGAGATATGTTGCATAAATGGTAAGAAACATAATGTAGCTTAATGAAACTCAATTTAAAATAATCTAAACTCTCAAAATCGTAATAGCACAATTACAGACCAATCGTGGAACAGTTGGAGCTTGTACCCATGGCCCCTCAAGGAAGGTTCCTTGATGTTGGTGAGGGGCTCTTGATTTAGGGAATTGGATCTGTGCTCCAGTTCCCCGAATTAAGCCTGAATGCCTTCCACATCCCCCCCCCCCAGGCGCTGTATAATCCTCCGGGTTTAGTGCTTCCCCCTTGATTATAATAATAATAATAATTGTACCCATGGCAAGTGAGTTCTGAAACTCGCAGGCCAATGAGTTAATGCACTGGCCTGCACTTGTTCTGTGATTTAAAATAATCTGACTTAACCTGACTTACTCTGCCATTGTTATGAATGCAAATGGAGTCTGTTTTCTGTGATTGGTCAGGCATGTTGCACATTATATGGAGCATTGAAAAAATACAAATTTTAGAGATGCAAGCTCCACTTTTCAGGCATTATTTGGATGGTCACAATAAACTGCTGTTCAGAATTTCAGACCATTTCATGCCCATTTACCCTGCTGCATCACAATTGACTTTTCATCAAATTATACACCATTGAAAACAATTAATTATAAATTTTTGGTTGTCAGGATAATAATCATGTACATGGGTTATATCAGTCATCAACTATTTAATTATAAAATATTACAAGTTATAAGTGAAGTCTTTCTTGGTGCAGAACTTAGGCATCACTTTCCTGGAAAATATTCTTTGTCTGATATATCCATCTCTTGCCTTCTGTCCAGTCACTTCAGTGCAAGCATCAGTCATAAATTTTATCCTTCTCTCAACAGCTTGAGTGTTGTTTGGCCACTTGGGCACCTCCAGTGGAGTTTCAATAATTTTCGGAACCTGTTGATGTGATAAATAAGCAATGAAAGGAGGCTCAGTTTTGAGTTCAGTCTTCCAGTCAATCATGGAATGATAGTTCTTTGCTTGGCACTTTTGTTTGGGAATCTCTACTTTTCTTGAGTTGACAATAGGAGCCACATTGTCTTTCTCTTCATCTTCACTGTCATCCTCATCATCAGTGTAGATTAACAAGTCCTCGTCAACAGCATCAGCAGATTCTTCTCCATCCTCATCAGAGCTCTCAGTACTTTCTTCTGTCTGCTGATTCTCTTCTCTAATTTTTCTCATCATTGAGACAGCTTTGTCTCTCACAGTCATGTCTTCATCAGCACACATACCAAGAAGCAGCTGATCTGTGTGAGCAAAGTAGGAATTTCTTTGGACAATCTTTTTTACTATCTTCTTTTCTTCACTGTTCAGATGTCTCGTAAATTGCAGTGACTCATAGACATTCTTTGGACTGTGTCTGACATAAGGGTGCAGCTTGATGTGGAACCACATTGGAGCAGTGAACTTCAAAATCATGATGACGGCTTTTTTCAGCTCTTGACTGGGTCTTGATGTTGCCACATACAGCCTATGGATCCTACTCCATACGATATTCCACCTTGACACACACGGTGGACCTGGTTCAAGAGCAGCCAAGTCATCACCAACCACACCTGTAATCACTCCTTTGCAAATCCTATACATGTATTTCTGGTGCCTTTTTTTTTGTTATTTGTGTATAGTGTCCCAGGACAGATCCTCTGCCACCTTGTCATTCAGAGCAGGGAAATCAGTGATATTGACTGGCTGGAAATCAACAACTGGCAGCTCAGACAGAGAATCCTTGATTTGCTCGTAATTAAAACACTGCTTAATACTAAAATAAAGCCTTGCCTCACTTAGCGATGTACTCGTTTACCGACGACTTGGACTTATGACGGGCTCTCTGACCAGTATACATACCTAAATAATGTATATTAGAGCTGATATTCTCTATTCTGTTATTATAATACAGTGGACCCCCGGTTAACGATTTTAATCCGTGCAAGAGGGATAATTGTTATGCGAAATAATCGTTATGCGAATGAATTTTCCCCATAAGAAATAATGGAAATAAAATTAATCCGTGCAAGACGCCCAAAAGTATGAAAAAAATTTTTTTTTACCACATGAAATGTTAATTTTAATACACACAAACTGAAAAAGGCATGCACAATTACATGACACTTACTTTTATTGAAGATCTGGTGATGATTGATGGGATGGGAGGAGGGGAGAGCATTATCTTCTTACTGTTTAGAAGGGAATCCCCTTCCATTACGACTTGAGGTAGCAAGTCCTTTTCCGGGGTTACTTCCCTTCTTCTTTTAATGCCACTAGGACCAGCTTGAGAGTCACTGGACCTCTGTCGCACAACAAATCTGTCCATAGAGCTCTGTACCTCCCGTTCCTTTACGATTTGTCTAAAATGGGCCACAACATTGTCATTGAAATAGTCACCAGCACGGCTTGCAACAGCTGTGTCAGGGTGATTTTCATCTATAAAGGTTTGCAGTTCAACCCACTGTGCACACATTTCCTTAATCTTTGAAGTAGGCACAATGGATTCCACAACTGGCATAGGCTTCTCAGGGTTAGCCCCAAACCCTTCAAAATCTTTCTTAATTTCCATACTAATTCTCACCCTTTTTACCACAGGGTTGGCACTAGAAGCTTTCTTGGGGCCCATGGTCACTTATTTTCCAGAAACAGCACCGAAAACACTGTAATAATACGAAATATTCCGAGTGTATGCTTGGATGTTACCGCGGAGGCTGGCTGGTAAACAATGGGACGGGCGGCACATGTGAGGGCACATTGGACGCGTCTCGGACGAAAATCGGTGAGCGGGTTTTTAATCGGTATGCGCGGCAAAAATTTTGCGATAAAAGTAAGCGGTATGCGGAAAAATCGCTATGTGATGCCATCGTTATGCGGGGGTCCACTGTATACAGTACACTACTGTATAAACATTTAAAAATATACTTAAAATGTTATGAATGGTGCAGACGTGACATTAACCCTTTGACTGTTTTCGACGTATAAATACGTCTTACGAGCCAATGTTTCTGACGTATATATACTCAATAATTCTAGCGGCTTCAAATCAAGCGGGAGAAAGCTGGTAGGCCCACATGTGAGAGAATGGGTCTGTGTGGTCAGTGTGCACCACATAAAAAAAATCCTGCAGCACACATTGTGTAATGAGAAAAAAAAAAACTGATCGTTTTTTTGGAATAAAACGCCGACTTTGAGGTGTATTTTTGTATAGTATTTATCGTTGTATTCGCGTTTTCATGGTCTTAGGTGATAAAATGGAAAACATATTACAGAAATAGAGATGATTTTCATTACTTTTACGATGAAAACGACCTTGAAACTGAGCTCAAAGTAGCGGAAATGTTCGATTTTTACCAATGTTCAAGAGTACATAAATACACACCAACGTCCAATACACGTCAACTGGGGAGTCTAATATTCTTTCACTAGTGCACTGATATTATTTATACCATTTTTACAATAATGCA